ATCCCTTTCATAGGGATTAACTTTAATAGTGAAATTGCTGAGTAAATAAATGAGGGAACTTGAAGATTTCAGTCGTAGTCTAGATCCTTCGCTTTTGGGGGACAAATAAGAATGTAAATGAAAGGGTGAGGAAGGAAATTCCTCCTGATCGGTACCTGTGTGATTGGAAATCTCCTTGTCTGGGCAGCGCATGCAGTCTAAGTAGCAGGCAGCCTGTCCCCACTGGGGAGATTTCCTCCATCCAGGGCCACCGCTTTTGCTGCACACAGAGCAAGGAGTCTCGAGAAATCAGAGGAAAGTCTTGTTGAAACCTGCACGTGTGATCTAGTCCTGTGTAACCAGAGTGTTTCAGGGACAACCAACAAGTTTTATTTTGAAAAAGGAGCCCATTCATTGACTGGATTGGATGCTCTTCTCTACTGCATGACACTAACTCTACCAAATGTTAGGAGCATTTTTAAAATGGAGCTGATAGGAGGAGGCCTTTAGTAGAAGTCAGTGTCACCTGTGAGCACCTGCCACATACCTGGTGGGAGAGACCCAAGGATTGAGTGGCTGAAGATTACACTGAGCCAGGTTCTCTGTCTGCTTGGCAGAGAAACTGTGGATTATGTAAAAAACAAAACCTCTGAAGTTCTTAAAACTCAACAGAAATGGAAGACATTTCAGCTGTGTTTGTGCGCTTCCTTCTCCCTTTATCCTTTCTCACCTTCAGTTCTTCTGAAAGTCCCCAGGGCTGCCCAACACTGGCCTGAGTGCATGGATCTCATTGGTAAAGTGCAGTAAGTCCCAACTGTCTCTCCTGCCCTCGTTTATTTCCTTGGGAGGTTGTCATGCAGCATGAAATTTCTACCATGATAATTTGTCATCTTTGGGTTCAGGCTTTCTTGAGAAGGCAGCTGTTAAAATCCATAGCTGCCACTGGAAATCGTAATGCATGAAAATATCTATTCTTCCTTCCGCTGATTCAAGTCCAAGTGGGCGTATGCCTTGTGCAGGCGTTTTGCTGGTCTAGAAGCCATCCATGCAGGTCGTTTCTTGGAGGCAGTCTCCCAGTGGAGGGAATGAGATAGTCAACCGAGTTCAGTATGGAGCATACCTCTGGAGTCTCTGGGATAATGGAGCCCTACAGAGAGGTGACTAAGGAGAGGAGTGGCTGTAAGCTTCCATACCAACAAAGGACAGACCTGGGAAGCTGGAAGATGATCCCCAGGAAAAGTAGGATGGAAAGTCCTAGGAATTTTGATTTGTCTCTGGCCCCTCATGGTGCCTTGTCTGGGCACCTTTAAGTGGGGTCATGCCACAACCCCCAGTTTACAGATGTAGAAACTGAGGTTCAGGGACTGCAAGTGGCTTCCCAACAGCTATGGATCACAACATGTCATATGTATGCTAACATGAAGGTAGATTGGCAAGTCTTCTGCTCTGAAATGCCAGTACGCAATGTTTGCTGTTTCGTGATAAGGGTCACTATGGGAAATAGCGAGACCCGAGGCTGCAGCAGCAACTTGGTTACAATTCTGACTCCTATCTCCATGGCTACCCCTGCCCAGGAGCTCCCCCATGGGTCTTCAGAACCAAGGACTCTATCTCACCTCACCAGGAATAAAGACAGGTGCAGGTCATGAGGACACTAGGGTCTTGTGTGTAGGATCCACCTCTGTATGTTCCCAACTGAGAGGAACACAAAATACATCCCACATGGGATGATTGGGGTGCCATCTGATAACTTCTGACAACTTAGTTCACTCAACTAAACCCACAGCCTTTCTTATTCTTCTTAAAAACAAAGCCCTTGTGGAAAGTACAAGCTTTCATCTTCCTCCAAAATATGTACTCGGCTAAGATAATTTTCTCACTAAGACTTATTTGACCATCACCTGCCCTATTCACCTCAGGACCTGGTCCAGCTGGTTGGAATCTATCCCAATGGCGATAGGCTAGTCATTTCCTGGGAATAAAATGTAGCCAGTGCTACGTCCTAACCAATACAAATGGCCTTACTCTGCACAGGGGAAAAATAGATGGCATGATCTTTGTGTCCCTTCATTCCACAGCAGGGAACACCTAACGTGAAAAGTCTTACCTACTAAGATTGTAAAGGAAGACATGTGTGCCTGAAGGTCACCCCACACCCATGTCTCTCATCTACTCATCTGTGCACTAATGGGCTCGGCAGGTACTTTCGAAGCTCTGTCCTCATGCTTAGCGTACAGATATGACTAAGACCCAGACAGTATTCAGTTGAAGAGAGAGACAAACAGGTAGTTATAGTACAGCCAAGGTGAACTAATTATACAGGTAAGAGAACACAGTTCCCTCATCAGGTGTAAATGGCTTCTCAGTCCTTAGCACTCAAAGTTGAACCTCAAATAGCATTCTGGGCAGCATTAGGCTCAGATATCAGTATAGATGAAGCATCATGGTCTTATTTTCCTGTCCTTTTATATTGTTAGCCCAAGTAACTCCTCTTCTGGGAAGCCTATCTAGACTTTCACGGCCGAGAGAAGTGCTCACGGTATGAAGAGGCAGTGTTACTCTGGAAGGATTTGTGCATTACATTCAAATTTCACAATCTGGAGTGTGCAAACAATGAAAGCAAGATTATGTGTTTGTAACTCTGCTCCCAAGCCCTCATGCTTCTCAGAAGGGAAAAACTTGATCTTGCCATTTGGGGGTAACCAGGTGGTTTAAGTTTTGGCAGCTGGGAGAGGGAAATAGCCAACTTTTCTTAGTCTCCTGGTTTGCAGGTGGTGCTGAGTGACAGGACATTCTGTCCTGGCCTTAGAGGATGTGGGCACCTCACCCCAGTGTCACTGTATGTTGGTTGGGATCCATGCCTGCTGTGTTCAGGCCACGTGCCAAGACTAATTATAAAGAAGTCAAAATCCTTGCTCTCATGAAGCCTACACTTAAAAGGGAGAGAAACATAAATAATTTCACAAATAAATATTGAATTATATCTGTGACATGTGCTAGAAAATAAGCTCCTTTAGCATTGATACAGTTGACCTTTCTTTTTTTAAAATTCCATTCTCCTTGAAAGATGTGAAGAGATGAGAATCGACAGGACTTGATGCATTGGAAGCATGTGACCTTGGGCATCCCTGGGTCTGTTTCCTCATGTCTGTGAGGAAAATTGACCAGAATTGACCTATGAGGACCTTATCCAAATTGCGAGGCCCCTTGATGGCCTGCTTCTCAACTTCTGTGACCCTGCCCCCTCCTTTATTCTCTTTCCCTTACATGCCATTGAGGGTCCCCAGGTCCCCCAGCCTAGTCAGGAACCAAGAATTCCTGAGGGCAAGATGGAGAGCCAAGATGGAATAGGATGGACCTGGGAGAAGACAACCAACAATTTAGGTCTTGAGCTCTAAATTCTAGAGTGGTTTCTCAACTGGGGCTTCAGAGAGAGACACATCACACCACACACACACACACACACACACACGTGCACACACACACACACACACACACACACACACAGAGCAAGACCTAACCTCAGGCAAGGAGAGATAAATTTCTTGTTCTGAATAGTTGGTCTGCATTAAGGGATTCAATCCATCCAACAACCCCATGAGATAGGTATTGTATGGTTCCTATTTTAAAGATGAGCAACAAACGGGGGTACAGAATGGTTGAGTGACCCTCCAAGCACTCATCACCAATTCCTACAGAGCTGGGATTCAGATATAGTTCATCTAGGTTTAGAGCCTGAAGTCTTTACTGTCACTAGTCCCAGCTTTGCCCTGGAATTAGTGGGGGAACTAGCTCTAGAGCCCAGGTCTTCTGAGAGGGTAGTGACCCGGGTTCTGCCCCAACACAGAGACGAGGTAAGTCTCCCTAGCAAGCCCGTCGATGAGAACTAGGGTGAGGTAGGAGGATATGCTTTCTGCCCCACATGCACTGCACCATGGAGAAAGCCCCCTATCCTGAGGCAGAAGCACTTCCCTAGACTTCACAGCAGAGGGAAGAGGAGGAGGTCTTCTCATGGCTGCTCACCTTCTACTCCATCCTGGAGGGTCTCTTTCTTGATAAACTAACCACTAACATCTCTACCACCCTGTACACTTTATAAAGTTCTTTCATATCTCTCTTAATCGATCCTCAGGAAAACTCTGTGAGATAAGCAGTGTTGGGATTATTTACATCCCACTTTACAGGTGTGGAAACAGAAGTTCAGTATGGGAAAGAGTTTTGCCCAAGCAATTCAACCACGAATCCACTCATGCCAGGCTGATGTTCCTGTGGACACTTTCCCCTCCCTACTCAGTCTCTGACTTGGAGTCACTGTGCCTCCCTTCTCCGCCCCCACCCTGCATTGTGTGCCTGCCCACCTTCTGTCACCCCACCCCCCAGTGACTTTAGGACTGGATTGTCCAGGAAGGGAAGGCAAGGCGGGAGAGGAAAAATGGAGGGAGGGGGCAGAAAAGGGAAAGGAAGAGCCCTGGGCAGCTTCTGATACCAACTGAAACTGATCATTGCTTGTAGCCTTTCTGCCTGAACAACTGACCAATTAACCATCTTTTATTCCACATTCATTGTGGTTAAGACAGTTGGGAGTTGAGGATGGAATGCAAAGAGGTGTGAAAAACATCTTTCCTGCCTTCCAGAAACATCAGGGGAGATGAGATGAAAACATTAAATCAAACAAATAATATAAGTTTCTCAGTTGAGTGTTACAAAAAATATGTGCTCCAAAAAAGGTAGGTATAAACTACGAATATACTTTCTAAGCAATAGGCAAAGTCGCAGTGGATTGGCTCTTACCTATTTAATAGGAGTCAAATTGGAGTTTTGATAAAGGCCCCAACCAACCAGTGATTTTGATGGTCAAAAGCAAGTAGTCACTGAATCTCCCTGATTCTGCTGTATACATTCCCCCCCTAATGTGCACAAAGGTATCAGATTATACTTTTGTAAAGAGATGGTTATTGACTTTCTCAATATAATATTTAATTTAGAATATTCAAAATAAAATCTGTGATATAAATGTCACTACTTCAGTCATCACTATCATTCTTATTTTCATTAGAGCTTGTGAGAAATTTTCATTCTGATCAGTGCTCAGGAGGAGTAGATGGTCCTAAGTGGGGTGTGGTGGGGTGGAGATAGTTCTGTGAGAACCAGATAAGCTGAGTTTGCACTTATTAATCACCTCTTTTATATGACACAATATATAACACTCCACGTAGACAGTGAGAAAGCTAAATGAATGTGCAGAATCTCTAGTCATCCATCAATCGCAGTAGGTGAATCGCATCTTCATTTCTGTGTTTTATCACAAAGTAAATCAAGGCCTCTGTTGTCCTGGGACGCAGCTTCCTTGAAGAACAAAGCGCAAGTCCTTAGGGAAAGTCAGGCTCCAGTTAAGGTCCCATCTCTGGGCTCAACCATTAGAATAATGGGTTCTTCTAGTTGAAGAAGTACCTGACGCCTTAATTTCAGGTGCATCTGCAACAGTTAAACAAACACGTGAGAATCGAATAATGAAGCAAGGCCAGCAAGAGAAACAAAGTATTGATATAGAAGATACATTATGGACAATAATGCTTTACAAACATATAACAGCTAGTTTTAGCATCGTATACCTTTGATTCTTTTTTAGAAACTACAAATTCCATGTATTTAATAGATACAGGGATGGTCAGCTTATCTGTTTTTCATAGGGTGAACTTTAATAGTCGTGTCTTTCAAGGAACTGGCCACATTTATGTATGAACTATATGGAGTAAAGTTGTTTGCCGCATTCCCTTATTATCTTTTTTATTAAATTAAAATTTCCACCTATTGAGACATAACTGTCTTACAGGAGTGCGTAATGATTTGACGTACATATATCGTGAAATTATCACCACAGTAAGTTTCATTAACATCCATCAGCTCATGGATACGAAGAAAAAATATTGTTTCCTTCAGGTGATAGCTCTCAGGATCTACTCTCCTAACAGCTTTCCTGTACACCATACAGAAAGGTTAACTAGAGCCATCATGTTGTACGTGGCATCTCTAGTACTTATGTATCTTATAAATAGAAGTTGGTAGCTTCATCCAATCTACCCTCCTTATCTTTGATTGTTTATACTTATTCTTTAAGTTATGTCAAGACGAGATAGTGAAAGCATTCATCCATCATTCTTTCCACGAAATATCTATTGAGCGCTTATTTCATACCAGGCTAGAGACAAAAATCTGGTTGGCTTGTGTTCTTTTTTTGATTTAAATTTTAGGTACAAAGGATGAGGTTTTTAAATTTACCAGATTCTAGGCATTATGGCCAACTATCTTGAGCCATGTAAAGATAATTTTGTGTCCATTGAAACTTGCAAGGTAATCCTAGTAGGAATCACACATGTTAATTACATCGGCCTTCCTCAACTTCTGCAGAGTCCAATCACCTCTCCCAGTAGAACCCATCCAGTTTCATGATCGGAAGAGGTCGTTGTGAAGCATTATGCCTGTTTTTTTTGTTTTTTTTTTTTAACATTTCCTGTCTCCCAAATGCAGTGCAAATGGTGAACTTCTGACGACCTACAGTGTTTGTTCCAGTACTTTTAGCCCTTTTCTCACCCAGTCACTCCTTCAGTGTTGGGGGAGCCAACAGAGTGACCTTCTAATCTCAGTTGACTGAAGGGCAAACAAATTGTCATGGAGGAGAGAAGCCCCAGCCTGTGGATGGCTGGGTGGAGCTTCAGGGAGTATCTGCCCTTCCCAGGTGTGCCAGAGGCTCCCTTTCTCTCAGGGCTGGGTTCCCTGTCTGTATACACCTACAGGACGGCCACACAGACTCCCACAAGTAAAACGGAAACCGTCTCTATCCTCCTCTTCCCTGAGAAAGCCTACCCAAGGGGAGGAGCTGCTTACTAAATGTGTGACTCCTAGAAATAAGCCTTCTTATAGGGCCGTGTTTGAGATGAAAAAATGGTAACTGTTCTTTGTGTGCTTCAGGAGAGATTCCAGATCTTTCTATAAATGTAACACCTTGTTATTTTAAAATTTCAAATGACATGCATATATGTCCCCTGCAGATAGACATACACACGTACACCAGGCATGTACACAAGCCATGTGTTATTTGTGTCATTTGTTAAATTGCAGAAGTTCAAATTGTTCACAATTTGTATCCAAGAACTCTAATCCACCGCACATCGAACTCCTTAAGCATTTGCTGGGTGACTGGGAGGCATCGTTCAGAGTTTACGAAAGGAATAAAATGAGAGGCTACAGTTCAAGACGTTCATAGGTATAAAGAAAACATAGGAACCAAACTGGATGGTTCCATGACAAAGTGTTAAGTTAGGTCGTAGGAACTGTGATGCCAGCCTGTGGTGACTGATACAGAGCAGAGGGGAGAGTGGGCTGTGGACTGGGTGGGGGAGGCTCCATGGAGGGGCTCAGGATTGAGCTAGAACTTGAAGGGGGAAGAACAGAATCGGGGGGGTGGGGTGGGCGGGGAAGAGCACACATAGAGTTATTATTAGAATGTAAAGGGAGCCCATCTTGATGGCAGCAGGACCCCTGGAAGGTGAGGGGGCTGTGGGAGTCCTTCACATCTGGCAGAAATGCTTTCCATCAGGGGTTCTCACCGTGGCTACACAGGAGAATCCACGGGAGTGGTTTGAATGCCACACTCCGGGCGAATTATTTTAGAATAAATGAGATGACCTAGGCATCAGGATTTTTTAAAGCACCACAATAATTTCATTATACAAGCAGTGGCTGAGAACCACTGCCAGGAGAGCTTCTGTAAGTTCTGGTGGAGAAGAGATCACTGAAGAGCCATGATGTTTCAGTGTGTGCTCTCATGACTGTGCACACACTTCCCTTCATTCCAGTGGACTTGAAATGAAATTTAAAACATTGCTGAGGTTCAAAAGACTGCAAAGAATCATGTCATGCTAACTGCATTGACTCTAGATGACCTTTATAGTTGGGTCATTACAAAGCCACAGGCTTAGCCATCCAGAGCTGAAGGACAAAGGTCACAGATGGCTCCAAATACATTCATGTCCAATATGACAAATTATTCCTTGAATAGAACACATTCATATATGTGTGTGTATGTGTGTGTGTGTGCATATATATATATATGATATCTATCTATCTATATCAGTTTTAAAAACTCACAATAAACACAATTAATGCAGCTAGGTAACCGTCTGACCTGTGTTTCTTTGCAAGGTTTGAAGGAGAAGTTCTGCAGGACTTTGACAACAGCAAGTTTCACGTTCATGATACCAAGTCTCATACCAATGCAGTTTCGGGGTCCACTTCCAAAAGGCATGTATGTGTAAGGATTTCTGCTCTCCTTGTTCTCCTTACTGAACCTGGTTCCACAACAGTAAATGAAACAAATTAATGAAACAGAAAACCCACAAGAGCTCAAAGTCTGAGGCTTAACTTAAACACTCAACTAGCAGCATTAGGGATGCCTGTGCGAGCTAGTCATTGAGTCCTGCTGTGGTGATTTTGCTCTGAGAAAGGTAAACTCCAGATCCTTCCCGTTCCCCGGACCCTATAGGAGCTTTCAGTCCTGTTGAGGAGATGAGATGAATGCTGTTGAAAACCAAATTTATCTCTAAACACTAAATTTACATTCAGGCAGTGAGATGTTCATGCTCTGAACTGATTGAAGGAAACGTGGGTTCCTGCCTCCACGCACACGTATGTCGGTCATGTGCTCATGGGGGAAGGCAGCAGGAGAATCAGCTCCCAGGATTCAAATTGTCATTTCCCCCTTGTATTCCCTTCCTTCCCGTCCCCTTGTGTCTGTCTGTCTGTCTCCCCCACGGCACAGAACACTTAGGCCACATTTCCATAGCTATATGACGCTACTATAGAATAACCACTGGTTTCCTTGTCTCTCTGTTCCACTAGCCTATAAATTCCTTGATGGTTAGACCTCTGTTTTATTCAAATTTGACTCCTCAGTGTTTGAATATATTAAGGAAAAATATGGAATTGTGGAAAGTGATAATAGCATTGCGATTATGTATATTTTAAAGAGTCCCTACTTTGCAAAACATTTTGGAATATTTACAGACACTGTGACTTCAAATACTATGGGTAGATGGAGGAGGGTAGCAGTAGCATGTGGATGGAGCAGAGACATGGGATGGTTGTTGGGCAGGGAATGGGCACGTATAGATACATTAAAAGTCTTCCACAGGCTAGTGCCTATAGAATATACTTGTGCATACGTCAAAAATTCTCCATGATAGGCTTTTTTGTAAACATTTGGATTTCTCACTGCCTGGCCGAGTCCCTGACACGCAGGTGAGCTCTAGCTCTCTGCTTGACGACTGAATGAATCAAAAACGGACTGGGAGATCTGGATTGACATAAACGCACTACCATGTGTAAACCAGAGAGCTAGTGGCAACCTGCGGTACAGCACAGGGAGCTCAGCTCTGTGCTCTGTGATGACCTAGATGGGTGCGATGGGGGGGGGGAGGTCCAAGAGGGAGGGGATATAGGTATACATACAGCTGATTCACTTTGCTGTACAGCAGAAACTAACACGACATTGTAAAGCAACAATACTCCAATAAAAAATAAATAAAGTGAACCAAAATGAACAACAGCAAAAAAGAAATAACGGTGAGTGGTCTCTGGTTTTAGGCTCGTGAAGCTGCAGGAGAGGGAGCTACTGAGCTTCAGGGAAACACAGAGGTTCCCTGGGCCAGAAAACAGAGGACTTGGTCCACTCCAACTTCCTGTTTCAAGAAGTGCTATGTGTAGAGGTTATGCTAGCACTCAGGACACTAGGGCGAACAAGATAAAGTCCTTGCCATCAGGGAGCTTATAGTCAGGGGCTCATAAAAGTCTAGATCCCAGCTAGTGCCCTAAAATATTCATCTCAAATTTTGCTCACTGTACAATAAGTGGGAAAACATCCACTCTTTCCAGAGTCCAATCTGTACCGAAGCCAGACCTTGACTCTGAATTCCCAAAGAGGATGCTCAACCCCTCCAAGGAGGAAGTCTCAGACATCTAGAGAGCAGAGGACTTCTCTTTGGAAGGTCACCAAGTACTGAGGTAGAAGGGAGCTGGCCCAGGTGTGCAGCCACAGACAGAACCAGGGCACCTGTGTGCACCTCGGTCCTCAGTGAGGCTGCCTGAACCACCAGGGATGAGACCTCTAGGTCCCCAGCCTGCTCTCTCACAATAATGCTAGAGGAAATGTAGCCAGTGTTTAAAGAAATGGAAATGTGGGCACATTAGTGATGAATTCAAAGAGCTAAGGAGAACAGACAGGAAAACTTAAAGGAAATAAAAGGCCTATACACCTAAAATAAGATAGTGGTTATGTAAATTATGGCAGATGCATATAATCACTTATATAATTATATATAGAGAGAGATAGCTAGATAGACAGATACACACACAAATTCACATAGAGTGTTGTTTATCGTTTACTGTTAAATCAAGTAAGCAGTTCAAAACCAAATTAAATATACTACCATTCTAGTTTAAAAAATCTATATATGCCTAGACAAATGTCCATGCGGACATACATCACATTATCAGTGAGGCTTATCTTAAGGTATTAGGAATGTAGACAGCTATAATTCCTTTCTCTAGTCCACAGTTTGTAAAATTTGATTCGGACAATGATCACTCTTATATTAAGAAAAAACATCAAACAGTAAAAAGAGGCACAAATAAATGATGGTACGATCGCTCATTTGTCTCCTACAGTAAGAGGCGTCTAATATGCTGGAACCACTCTGGATCAGAGAGGGTTCCCTTCCCTGGGTTCTCCTACCTTTCAGGACGGAACTCCTCAGGCTCTGGCCAGTGTTCCGGATCTCTGTGAATAGTGAAGAGTGGCACCATCACCACTGTCCCTTTGGGAATCAACACCCCATGGACTTCCACATCTTTCTTACAGACTCTCTCAAGTCTAGCAGTAAGTGGGAATAATCTGAGAGATTCATTCAACACCATGTCAAGATATTCCATCTGTTCTAGGGACTCATAGGTGGGAGGTGCCTGGAAGAAAGAAACAGATTTTGATAAATTGAGATTGGGATCAAACTTCAACTCAGTCTAAATAGTCCTATTGAAATGGTAGGAGCTCCAGAGAATAATTTCAACTGGTAAAGGACCTTAACATTTGTAGATGTTATAATATCTATCATGTCCTTTGACCTGCTCAGTGGCCCACTGAGATGTGTGGAGTGGTTATGACTATACGAGAACATTGGGACAATGCCCTAAACAGGGCCTGAAATCCCGCACGTTATCATCTAGTGTATTTTCTTTCTCACGAGAACAAACATGACTAATAGACTATGACCCTTAGTCTCAAGAGAAATGTGCAAAGTCACTGTTTCCTTTCAAAAGAGAGGCCACACATCTGTACCAAGGGAAGAAATGTATAAGTGCAAATCCTCTACTCAACATAAAATTTTTACTTGAGAAATCTCGTTTACTAATTCTTTTGACTATACCTATAAAATCTGAAAATACTTTATGATGTTAAAACTCTATAAATAATTTAGGGAGAAACGAGTTCCTTTCTAAACCAAATACAAAAACAAAGAGCAAGATTGGGTGCTACAAGGAACACAATTTCAGATCCAGGGAAAGTTACAAGAGGATGAGAACCCTACCCTCAGCCACAGCCTCTGTTGCTGGAACAGTCTCCTATTGTCCCTTCAGGGGTGACTGTTAAGGTCTGAAAGTCTAAACAAGCCACTCCAGCCCCAGAGGCCAGCTCTCCTCACACCACAAAGAATTCCACTTTTGGCAGAGATCTGAGACCAGTGGGGGTGACACGTGGCTGTCACGTGGGGTTATATTTAAGGGGCAACATTGTAGAGGGTAAGAGTTGGCTCAGGAGACAGACACCCTGGCACATAGGTTGGCGTTTTCACCACTAGGTACACGACTAGTATGTGAAAGTATTTCATCTCTCTGTCGCTCAGGTTTCTGAAACGTTACATGGAGATAATTAGAGTTGACACTTCATAGGCTTGTGTGGCAGACACACACACTGCTCACCCAGTATCCACGTAGTCCCTGTATTTCCCAGCCCACTTGAAGTTACAGGAAACCAGCTTTGCCAATGGGCTGTGAACCGAGGCGATTATGTCAGTTCGGGGACAAATCATTTGAAAAGCCAGTGAGCAATGCTCGAGTCCCTTATTCCCCAGATAACAGGAAGTCCTCATGTTCCAGATAAGGTAGCTACAGGAAGGTGGAGCCTCTTAGCCTGTATCCCCGAGTAACGCTGTGGAGCAGAGCTGCCCTCTCCCATCCTCCGCTAACAATCCATGTTGGTCATGCAGATGTGGGTTAGAAGTAAACCTCTGCTATGAAAGCTCTGAGATTTGAGGGCTTATCTGCTACTGAGGCGTAACTTAGCCTCTCCTGACTTATACAGAATCTTATGAAGGTTAGATTCGTTTATAAATAGCATCTAGAACAGACATATATAGTAAAAAAGCAAATGTTGGCCAATAGTGTTCTTGTCATTGTATTATTATAAAAGAGGAAGAAGACAATGCTTTAGCAATTCTCTCTTGCCTGGTGACCATCTTATTACAATGAAAAGAATTGCAATATGTGGTTTACCAGAGAAGACAGATCATCTCTAATTTAGTTAGGCACTACAATCTATCCTTACCTTATATTTGAAGGACCCAGGACCCTGAAAGGTGATAAAATTTGTCCAAAACCACAGCCAGGACTCAAACTCACGTCCTCTGTTTCCTACTTTAAGCCCTTTGTTGTTACAAGGCTCCTCCTAGTCTGCAGTGTACCCAGGGTGGTAGACTGAATTAATGATCCCAGTTCTCCAGCCCTTCCTGGGTCCATGCCCTTTGCCACCTACCTTTGTGGTTCCCTCCCATTCTGACTCTGGGGTTGGCCAGGTGGTTTGCTTTACACCAGTGGAAATCTGGCTAAGTGTGATGCTAGGAGAGTTTTGAAAATCACCCATATGATTGGACTTTTGGTTCTTGCCATCTACCATTGCCTTGAGAAGTAGACACGTGGAGATTGAGAGGCAGGAGAAGCAAGTGTGGAGTTGAGTCAGCCTAGCCAGCTTAGCCAAGGCCAGCCTAGATCAGCCAAGAGCCAGAACCAAGCAAGTCCAGGCAACGTCAGCAGATAACTATGTGGGCACTAGAGCAATAGATGCTTACTGTTAGATGCCACTGAGGTTTTGTGATTTTTTTTTTTTTTTTTTTGCGGTACGCGGGCCTCTCCCATTGCGGAGCACAGGCTCTGGACACGCAGGCTCAGCGGCCATGGCTCACGGGCCCAGCCGCTCCGCAGTATGTGGGATCTTCCCGGACCGGGGCATGAACCCGTGTCCCCTGCATCGGGAGGCAGACTCTCAACCACTGCGCCGCCAGGGAAGCCCCGAGGTTTTGTGATTTTTATGTGGCATTATTGTGATAACTGATATGCCAGGACCAGCACTTGTTTCAAACCACTTATATTTCTGTGAGTAGTACGCATTACCTACGTTTTCCCCCTTTGTGTTTGACTCTTGAGATCCTTCCTCAGTAGCACAAGTGAAAACTTTGATACTTATGCTTTTTGCAAAAATCTCCTGAGAAGTGGCAAGGAGACATTCGTGCTAAGGCTTCACTTCCCCCCTCCCTCTCCAGGTAGCATCACTCACCTTACTGGGGAGAGCTGCATCAATCTCTTCCCGCAGCTTCTGCTGGATGTCAGGGTGAGTGGCCAATTCATAGAAAAGGAAGGAAAGAGCCTCAGCAGTGGGCTCATAGCCACCAAAAATAAAGATAATACCTTGGGCCACCATTTCTGGGTCAGACAGAGCTAAAAGGGGAGGAGAGACATTGTAGGGAAAGCATGTCAATATAAAACATCACAGGTTAGAGGATGAGAAATCCAAATGAGACTCCCAAATCCCTAGGGAAAAAAATGGAAAAGCAATTCAGAGCAAAACTGGGAGTGGTTTGCTCTCTCGTGTCTGTTTTACAGAGCCAGAAACAGGCAAAACTTTTCTTAATCCACTTTTTCCTCAAGGTCTGTACTATACTTGGCCCTCTGCTCCTGGTTATGCCACAGTTTCCACCAACACAGCTGAGTAATTTCAAGAGATAGCATTTCTGTCTAACACACACAGCATTATCAGTATGCCCCTTGGAGAATCCTAAATGCACTTTAGCTACAAACAGTATGGGGTAGCCATGTTTTTCCTTTAAAAAATTATATTATTCTAGCTAAAGTATAACATGAATTTTTTTGAGAAAGTTTGCAATACTAAGGCTGTACTGTAGGGAAAATTAATAGAAGACTTGGGGCACAAGTCTTCAAATGGATGATCACAGATATACAGAAACTACAGAAAAAAAAAAAAAAGCTAGAAGAGTGCTGATTGATCCTAGTCTAATCAATGGCATTAAAATAGCGGAAGAAAGAATGTGTCCTTAGAAGGGCATTGGCCAGCATACAATATAGAAAAATAGGGTCCAGGGAGTGGAATTAGCAATGCTTATTCAGTCATGACCTGAATGTCATCTTCCTCAGTACAAGCCCCCTCTCTTTGCTCTCCCTTGTGCTCAGCAAACAGCCCTTGTGATTATAAATTGGTCTCCATTTTTATTTTCTCCTGAGAAAATCCAAGCATGGTCAGGCTCCAATCTATTTGATGGGACTATACTAGATACTTAGAACACTCAGATCAACATGGTACCTGCCCAATCATGTAATTCACAACTAAAACAATACAAAATGAGTGGAAGAAAGATCTACAGAGTTCTGATTTCCCCACGATGATTTCTGTGAAGCAGTTGTGGGTAAATTCAGCTATCAAATTCTTTCCCCCAGTTAGCATAAACCCTAGGATACTAAAAGTTTAGAGCTGTACTGTCTAATATGTGGCTATTTAATTTAAATTTTAATTGATTAAAATTAAGTACAATTTAACATTTAGTTCTTCTGTGGCATTACCCATATGTTCAATAGCCACATGTCTAGTGATTACTATATTGAACAGTGCAGATACAGAATACTTCCTACGGAAATTTGTATTGGACCACGTAGTTAGATAGATGTCAGATAGATAGGTAAGTAGTTAGATAGATAGACAGATAGATAGACAGGGACATAGCTGTGGATATATTTATAGTGGTGTGCTAGAGTCATCTCATCCCTCTCTCAAGAATCAATCTGTAAAAATCTAAGAATATTGTGAGATGGTTGTCAAACCATTGGTATCTTGAAGTTAACCAAGTGTGAGTATTCATATCATGGAAATAAACTAAAAACGAGGGCATTCTTGTTTCAAAGAGACGTTCTGTTTACATCACTGGTTATGAGTAGATATAGAAATACTTGGGGCTTCCCTGGTGGCACAGTGGTTAAGAGTCCACCTGCCAATGCAGGGGACATGGGTTCGAGCCCTGGTCCAGGAAGATCCCACATGCCGCAGAGCAACTAAGTCCATGCGCCACAACTACTGAGCCCATGCCACAACTACTGAAGCCTGTGCACCTAGACCCCGTGCTCCACAACAAGAGAAGCCACCACAGTGAGAAGCCCGTGCACCGCAATGAAGAGTAGGCCCCGTTCGCTACAACTAGAGAAAGCCCAGGCGCAACAACAAAGACCCAATGCAGCCAAAAATAAATAAATAAAATTAATTTTAAAAACCAAGCAAACAAAAAAAAGAAATACTTATGTTCATCAGTCTTGTGTAAATATATTTTGATGATATGTTTGATGGTCTTATCTTTGTCCACCGAAAGGATGTAGTAGCAAAGAAACCATAGTAGAAATGAACATTCCTAGATCCCAGGTTTTGATTTCTAAATACCATTTCTCACTAAAGGAAACCAGAGCTCCTTTCAGGACTAGTTAAGGGAAACAGAATAGATACCTGGAACGTCTTGCATCAGAATAGAGACACAGATGTAGAGAATGGACATGTGGACACAGGGGGAAAGGGGAGGGTGGGACAAATTGGGAGATTAGGTTTGACATAAATACACTACCATATGTAAAATAGATAGCTAGCGGGACCCTGCAGTATAGCACAGGGAGCTCAGCTCGGTGCTCTGTGATGACCTAGTTGGGCGGGATGGTGGGGGATGGGAAGGACGTCCAAGAGGGAGGGGATATATGTATACATATAGCTGATTCACTTCATTGTACAGCAGAAACTAACACAATATTGTAAAGCAACTATACTCCAATAAAAAAAAAAGAAAGCGAGGAAGTTCTCAGAAAATGATACTCTATATACTATAATGGTGGATACATGTCATTGTACATTTGTCAAAACCCATAAAAAGGACAACACCAAGAATGAACACTAATGTAAACTATGGACTTTTGGTGATAATAATATGTCAGTGTAGGTTCATTGACTGTAACAATTGTACTTTGATGTGATCTTTTGATAGTGGAAGACGCTGTGTGTAGGTGGGGGGAGGATGTATGTTTGAAATCTCTGTACTTTCCCCTCAATTTTGCTGTGAACCAAACTGCTCTAAGAATAGTCTATTGGAAAAAAAACTATTTAAGAATAAAAAAAGAAATAAAAAAGGATACAGGAGCCTACTTAAAAGGGATCCAGTGGACAAACCTGAGAGAATTTTAGAATCAAAGTTAAAAATGATATGAGAATAAACTAATGATGAAAAATCTGAAAGTGAAATTAAGAAAACACTCCCATTTACCATTGCAACAAAAAGAATAAAATATCTAGGAATAAACCTACCTAAGGAGACAAAAAACCTGTATGCAGAAAACTATAAGACACTGATGAAAGAAATTAAAGGTGATACAAATAGATGGAGAGATATACCATGTTCTTGGATTGGAAGAATCAACGTTGTGAAAATGACTCTACTACCCAAAGCAATCTACAGATTTAATGCAATCCCTATCAAACTACCAATGGCATTTTTCACAGAACTAGAACAAAAAATTTCACAATTTGTATGGAAACTCAGAAGACCCCGAATAGCCAAAGCAATCTTGAGAAAGAAAAACGGAGCTGGAAGAATCAGGCTCCCTGACTTCAGACTATACTACAAAGCTACAGTAATCAAGACAGTATGGTACTGGCACAAAAACAGGAATATAGATCAATGGAACAGGATAGAAAGCCCAGAGATAAACCCATGCACATATGGTCACCTTATCTTTGGTAAAGGAGGCAAGAATATACAGTGGAGAAAAGACAGCCTCTTCAATAAGTGGTGCTGGGAAAACTGGACAGGTACATGTAAAAGTATGACATTAGAACACTCCCTAACACCATACACAAAAATAAACTCAAAATGGATTAAAGGCCTAAATGTAAGGCCAGACACGATCAAACTCTTAGAGGAAAACATGGGCAGAATACTCTATGACATCAATCACAGCAAGATCCTTTTTGACCCACTTCCTAGAGAAATGGAAATAAAAACAAAAATAAACAAATGGGACCTAATGAAACTTAAAAGCTTTTGCACAGCAAAGGAAACCATAAACAAGACAAAAAGACAACCCTCAGAATGGGAGAAAATATTTGCAAATGAAGCAACTGACAAAGGATTAATCTCCAAAATTTACAAGCAGCTCATGCAGCTCAATGTCAAAAAAACAAACAACCCAATCCAAAAATGGGCAGAAGACCTACATAGACATTTCTCCAAAGAAGATATACAGATTGCCAGCAAACACATGAAAGAATCCTCAACATCATTAATCATTAGAGAAATGCAAATCAAAACTACAATGAGATATCATCTCACACCGGTCAGAATGGCCATCATCAAAAAATCTAGAAACAATAAATGCTGGAGAGGGTGTGGGGAAAAGGGAACACTCTTGCACTGTTGGTGGCAATGTAAACTGATACAGCCACTATGGAGAACAGTATGGAGGTTCCTTAAAAAATTAAAAATAGAACTACCATATGACCCAGCAATCCCACTACTGGGCATATACCTTGAGAAAACCATAATTCAAAAAGTGTCATGTACCACAATATTCATTGTAGCACTATTTACAATAGCCAGGACATGGAATCAACCTAAATGTCCATCAACAGATGAATGGGTAAAGAAGATGTGGCACATATATACAATGGAGTATTACTCAGCCATAAAAAGAAATGAAATTGAGTTATTTGTAGTGAGGTGGATAGAACTAGAGTCTGTCATACAGAGTGAAGTAAGTCAGAAAGAGAAAAACAAATACTGTATGCTAACACATATATATGGAATCTAAAGAAAGAAAAAAAAACCTCATGAAGAGCCTAGGGGCAAGACGGGAATAAAGACACAGACCTACTAGAGAATGGACTTGAGGATACGGGGAGGGGGAAGGGTAAGCTGGGACGAAGTAAGAAAGTGGCACGGACATATATACACTACCAAACGTAAAATAGATAGCTAGTGGGAAGCAGCTGCATAGCACAGGGAGATCAGCTCGGTGCTTTGTGTCTACCTAGAGGGGTGGGATAGGGAGGGTGGGAGGGAGGGAGATGCAAGAGGGAAGAGATATGGGAACATATGTATATGTATAGCTGATTCACTTTGTTATAAAGCAGAAACTAACACACCATTGTAAAGCAATTATACTCCAATAAAGATGTTAAAAAAATGATATGAGAGTAAATTACACATGAGAATGTACTGATATAGATAAATAAATAAATGATGGGGGAGAATGGAAAGCTCTCCCTTAAAATAGAACATCAACTGATAAATACAGAAGAATGATGAAATTACAAATTCGCTTTGCAAACATCACAGTAATGAAGTTTTCGGTCAAAAACCATCCGTGGATGGTAAAACTAGTGGGTGACAGTTTGAAGAGGAACACTATATTTCCAGTCTCAAAGGTTTCTCCCACCAGCTGCTTGTTAATGACAAAGGAAAAAATTGAACTTTACAGTAGACTAAGCTAGTGAACACAACTTTAACCAAGTGTTCCAAGTTAAGGTCATCAACACTGGGGCAATGTTCCTCCTGATGGGATGAAGCCTTGATGCAAATTTCCAGGCAGAGGTTCTGACTCACTGGGTCCAGAGGAGCCTGAGAATTGACATTGGAAACAAGTTCCCCAGAGGTTCGGCTGTAGGTGATCCACAGAGCATGACTGACTGATGGGCATGACATCCTTGTTATACTTGCCCTTCGAGCTCTGAACAAGGTTGTGCCTGCGTACTTCTAGAAAGTACCTCTGGCTACCATTTCTGTCTGACCACGTGTCTTCCTTCAACTTGGCAGAAATCCCCAGCTGCCTGGAAAACTTCCTGCACATTTTCAGAACCACCCCCTAGCTCTGCGCCCCACCGACAGTGGCCCCTCGGAAGCTCTCCCTGGTTACCTTTACGGGTGTCCACATCTTTGGAATTCTGAGAGTTAATCATCAGCTGAAGAAGATCCACTCGGTGCTGGAAACAGAAAGAGAAATGTCAATGGCGGAAAGTCACCTGTGAAGCCAGAAATAAATCAGGAGTGCACATTTCACACCTCTTTCCTGAGAATACGGCCCCTTAAAGAGCAGAAGGCTGACGAGTACTGACTGAGTCCTCAGTGACCAAAACATCCACCTACAAATCTTAGAGAGCATGATGTTTCCCTGAGAGAAACCCAGCCATCACGCCCATCTGCTTTTTGGTCCTCACTCTCTCTGATCTTTGGTTTCTCTGGTTTTTGAAACAGCTTCTTAACCAAAGAGTTACCTGCTCTCTCTCCTGTCATACCTGTTTGCTCAGGAGAGCAAGAAGAAAAAACCTCAATCTTTTTTTTCCCTCCAGCTTTAATTCTTAAGGAATGGCCACATCAATTAATACCCAGACATTTGCAGAGTTCGCTGGCAGCTTTTGTAGAAGCACCTTCAAGAGCCCCATCCTTCCAGATTGCTACACAGCTTTCAGTGCTTTCCTGGGATACCCAGCCCTGTCCCCCTGACCTGCAGACATCCTTGTGCTGGCCTCCAGGCCTCATGAGGCAAAGCTGGCTTAACCAGCTTGCAGCCTCATTGCCAGCAGAAGACCCCTGCCCACTCCAGCCTATGAGAGGGCTCAAATTTAACACAGACTACCCTCCGCCAGGTGCCTGATGGGGCATTCCATCGGAAAATCTATAAAATAGGAGAATCGGATTTGAAGTGATTCTTTGCCAATCTAATATTTGGTGAAATATGAGTAAAATCATTTATAAACAGTAACTTTTATCCTTTGACAATTTATTGAAGGGAAATGGTAAAGTCTTAACCATATTTATGCAGTGATATACTAATTGGCACACCTATTTTAAACTTAAACATTTCTCTCTGACTCATTTTCTTATCTTCTTCCCCAAAGAACTTACCCCCAAAGGTAAATTATATATTTATTTACCCCCAAAGTTTAGAACTCTTCTACTCTAAAATCTGTAGTTCTCTACCTACCTTTAAAAATGCTGAGATGTGCATAAGTCATGTGTATACAGCTCAATAAATTACCAAAAGGTGAACACCCTCATGTCACCACCACCAGATTTTACCGTTTCTTTATCTTTGAGGCGACTTTCTTTCATCCTTTTTATAGATTTTGTGATAAAATTCACAGCATTTTTTGGAAACACAGAGAGATTTAATATTTCAAAGACTGGACGAAGGAACGGAAAAAGTGCTGTAAGGGAAAAGATAAAAGGAAAGCGGAGTAAAAATGCAAAATTTACCTGGAGCAATTATAATTTGCACTACCAATCAGAGAGTAAGAGACACCAGGGATCCCAACCGGGATCAGTCCCTCTATGACCTTTGCTCAGACTTCCAAGCCAAGGCCTGAGCAAGGGCAAGTCCACATATAGGGGCCATCACTATAGTAGTGAGATCAGTGGTCCTCCCTCTATCTTTCACGTGACCAGAGGAACAGGGTTACATTTTGGACTTCATTGACTTTTATCTACTGAACTACAGTTTCTTTGGATAAAACAGACCATAGTCTGCTACTTCAATTAATCATGGTGTTCAAAAAAATAATGGGATAGATTTAATACAGTGTATGTCTTTCAACCATAACGGAATGTAATTTGAAATCAATAATAGAAAGAAAATTGGGAAACTCACAAATGTGTGGAAATTAAACAATGCACTCCTAAATAACCAATGGGTTGTAGAAGAAATCAAAAGGGCAATCAGGAATTACTTTGAAGTGAATAAAAATGAAGTCAAGACATACCAAAACTGATGGAATGTTGCAAAGGGAGTGCTCGGAGAGAAACATGGATGCACAAATTCTCAACAAATGAATCCAGCAAAATATAAAAAGAGGTATACACCACAACAAAGGGGGGTTTCATTCAAGGAATGCAAGGTTGTGTAATACACAGTTTCAATAGCATAAAGACCAAAACCATATGACCATCTAAATATACAGTAAAAGCAACTGACAAAATCCAACACCCTCCTGTGATAATAACACTCAGCAAAAAGGAACAGAAGGGAATTTCCTCAACCTGATGAAGGCCATCTACTAAAAACCCACATATAACGCAATCCTTAATCGTCAAAGACTGGATGATTTCCTCTAAGTTTAAGAGCAAGACAAGGAAGCTTCTCTCACCACTTCTTCTCGACATTGTACTAGAGGTCCTAGCCAGGAGAATTAGGGAAGGAAAAGAAATAAAACGTATCCATATAGGAAATGAAGATGTAAACGATCTCTATCATAAGATAACATAATCTTGTATATAGAAAATTATAAAGACTCCACTAAAAACTTATTAGAACTAATTAACAAGTTCAGCAGGGTTTCAGGATACAAAACCAATACACAAAAATCAATTGTATTTCTATACCTTGCAATAAGTAATCCAAAAGTGAAATTAAGAAAATAACTCCATTTATAATAAAGTAAAAAATAGAATACTTAGGAATAAGTTAACAAAAAAGTGCAAAATTTCTACTCTGAAAACCGCAACATTGTTGGAATAAAGATCGAAGTAAATGAAAAACATCCCATGTTCATGTATCAGGATTTAATATTTAACATTTGCTATCTTGACTTAACATTGTCAAGATAGCAAATCTACAGATTTAACACATTCCCTGTCAGAATCCTAGCTGGCTTCCTTGTAGAAATTTACAAGCTGAATTTAAAATTCATACGGAATTTCAAGGGGCCCAGAAGAGCCAAACCAATATTGGGGAAAAAAAAAAAAGGAAATAAGTTGCAGGACTCATACTTCCTGATTTCAAAACTTATACCACAAAGGTGCAATAAGCAAAGCTCTATGCCCTAGCAGCATCCAAATATATCATATAGCGGTTTTAACTGTAGTCACATTGCACATCATACCACCAGTATTTATTTATGTTATAACTCAAAGTTTGTACCTTTTGACCACCTTCATTCACTTCCCCCACCACCCAACCCCACTTCTGGTAAATCAAAACTATGAAATAGTTCTTGTATGAGTTTGATTTTCTTCTTTTTGATTTAGCATTTAAGTATTTGTCTTTCTCTGTCTGACTTATTTCACTTATCATAATACCTTCAAGGTATATCCACATTATGCAAATGGCAGGATTTCCTTCCTTTTGACGGCTTACTAGAACTCCACTGCGCGTGCGCACACACACCCACACTCACGTACATATACCTACCACGCTTTCTTCATCCATATGTCAACAGACACTTAGGTTCTAAATATTATTAAATTGTACATTTTAAATGGGTGAATTACATGGTATATAAATTATATCTCAATATAGATGTCTGTAAAAGGAAGAAAGAGATGGAAGGGAGGAAGGAACGAACGAACGAACGAAGGAAAGAAAAAGAAATATAGTGGTCCACATACCTGAAAAGATAAGGAGTGGATCAAGGAAATCAAATCTCAAGAGCTTCTTAGTATATTCCACAAAGGGATCGTGTGGGTTGCTGAGGGAATCAATGTTCACTCCAAATGCTGTGCCAGTAATCACATCCATGCTGTAGGCCCCAAAGAAGCTGAGTAGAGAAAGATATGAACAACTAAAATCAACACCTCTTTACTCTCCTTACCCAACACATATAACAAGAAGTGCATGTAAAATCAGATGCCCAGACAAGGCAGGTAGAGAGCCACACTCTTTCAGAACCACCTGTTGGTCCATGGAAGAGTCTATGCTACTATCACTCACACATGAGGTGTGTCTGAGGTGCCAGTGATGCAGCTGGCCCTGTGCCAGGAGGGCTGGGGACACTGAGGCAAGTTAGACGTCCCCCCACAAGCTCGAGGAGCTCAGTCATAGAGGGACAGACACCCGTAATCACACAAAGTATAGTAGTGTGTTTTGACTACAGGCAATAATAGGTGTATAAGGACTGTGTCTGAGCAGAACCAAGGGTGTAAAATTAACTCATCCTGGGGGAGTCAAGAAAGGGGACGTTGATCATTGATCTGGATCTTGCCTCACCACAGAACCTGTGCTCAGAGCTGATTCCTCTTCAGTGAATTACAGAACAGCAGCACCCTGTTCTGAGTTGCCAGGAACATCATCCCTCACTGCCTTACACCCCTGCTAAGGATCCTGAAAGACCCACACTTCCTCAACTCCAGTGGTCTGTGGTTGCCCAGAGGGCAGACTCATTTCTGTAAAAGGTAAAGAGTAAAAATGATCAATTCTATGGTCATCCTACCCATAGCCTGTATGAGGCCTTCTGTCTTTTTGGACTGACAGAAAGGGGAGTGGTGGCAAGATTTAACATTCAGTATTTGCAGGTGTCCTCAGCCAGACTGTGAAGAGATCTAAGTTGTTCCGAGTCCCATATTGTGATGATTGTCTGTCACCCACTGCCTACCAGTATGTACCAAGTCTCTTCCCTGCCACCATTCCATGCCATCCACACTCAAGATTGGTGCAGTCACGTTTCTTCCTTCTCTCCTGGCTGTCCTGCTTTTTTTTTGGTGAGCCACCTCTCTTTCTGGGATGGGCCTTTGGGAGTTGTACCACCACATACCTACTTCTGTCTGGTCACTATCGTAATTCAGCAGTGGAAATCTGGCTCCCTGGCAGGCAGCTGGAGGGTCTCAGTGGAGCTCAGGTACCAGCAGCCTCACCCCTACTTACTCTTTCACGGTGATGGGCTTGCCTTTCTCTGCTTCCTTTCTCAGGTTCCTCACCAACACATCTCCATACGTGCTAATGATGGGGAACATCTAGACACAAAATAAACACCACCCGAGGTTAAATGTGGAGACTCAAGTCCTAGAAGGACCTGACTTTCCCATGAATGGAGCAGTGACATTTGATAAGGAATCTCATAATGTCTCTTCTAGGAGGTGAAGATAAAAGGCTATTTTAGGAAGCTCAAATTTAGTAGCCTCCTCCCTGGAAAAGGACTGTGATCTTATTTTCTACCTTATTCTTTAAGTTTCTAATTGAAAGTCCTCTTCTTTTCTTACCTGCTTGAGCTTTCCACTGGTGAAGGTTGGACACAGCAATGATCGTATTTTCTTCCATTGTTCATCCTCAGCCAGTGAGATGGCATTTTTCATAACTCCCACTGGACCAAACGTCTAGAGTTGAAAAAAAACACATTTTACCCTACATAAGTTTTGAAAGTCTCGACATTTTTGGAAATTGTGTTCAATGTGCGCCAATTATTCAACAAATATTTAGTGACTGTCTACTTGGAAGCAGGCCCTATGCTAGATGCTCAATAAATATGTATCCCAAATGCATAGCTTCCTGTGAGGGTCAAGGAGACATCCAGCCACCAGACATCATTTCCAGACTTTATATGCCAATCTCCTTTTAAATGAAACGACTCACATAGTAGGAAAACTGTTCTTCCAGAGGAATAGACAGGCATAAGACCTAGTTCATCCTCCTGGGCTGTGCAAAGTACAAGGATATTGGTGACAGATAGCCAGATAGCCTTGGCCAAGTGTATGTTGACTCAGACGAGTTCTGTCTTTACATATATCTAAAGCCTGAGCAAGTGGAAAAAGGGATGTCTTGATATGGTGATTGTTTCTAAAAACAGTGCTTAGCACTTGAAAGATTAGAAATCTATTTGCTAGTCTGAAGAAATAATGCAATTACACAAAAAACATTTTCCCCTATATTTTTTGCCCAGGATAAGAAGGAAAAAAGGTAATTCTATTTCTCAACTTGGGACTGGCCTATCAAACCAAGCTGCTTGGAAATTTCCACATTCTTCCAAAATAAAATTTTGTTTTAAAACGGGTATTTCCAACACCCATTCATGATGAAAACTCATAAACTTAGGAGGAGAGGGAAACTCCCTCTACTTGATAAAGGGCATATGCCCAAAACAAAGCAAAACAAAACAAAACAAAAAACTATAGCAAAAAAAAAAAAAGTCAGTCCTTTGCAAAGATCAAGTAAATAAATTGAAGTACTAACTTAAAATCTCTCCATAAAATATCCCAGGCCCAAATGAGTTCATTGTTAAAATATATAAAACATTTAATGAAAAAATAACCAACCAAGAATACTTTTCCCAAAAAAGGGATCCTTCAGAAATGAAGGAGGAATAAAGAAATTTTTAGACAAACAAAAGCAGAAAGAATTTGTCGCTACTAGAACAGCCTTACAAGGAAGGTCTTCAAGCTGAAAAGACAGAACACTAACTAGTAATATGAAATCATATGAAATAATAAAACTCACTAGTAAATGTAAATATACAGTCAAATTCAGAATACAATAATATTGTAATGGTGGTGTGCAAGTCATTTATGACTCTAGGGTAAATGTTAAAAGACAAAAGGGTTTTTAAAAAGTATAGCTAAAATAATTTGTTAATAGATACACAATATAAAAAGATGTACAATTCACCCTTAATCAATTCAGGCTTGAACTATGCAGGTCCACTTACAGGTGCATTTTTTTCAATAGTAAATACTACAGTACTACATGATCCATGATTGGTTGAATCTGTGGATATGAAACCACGGACGGAGGAACCTCAAATACAAAGGAACCACATAACAGAGGACGGACTATAAGTTATATGCAAATTGACTACAGGGAAGGTTAGCACCCCTAACCCCAACACTGTTCAAGGATCAACTATAAACTATGACATCAAAAACATAAAATAAGTAGGGGAGGGAGAGTAAAAACATTCAGCTTTTGAATGAGAATAAATAGGCTGTTATATGTATGTATAAGATGTTTTCTGTAAGCTTCACTAACCAGTAAGTAAAACCTATAGTTGATAAAGAGATAAAGAGGAAGGAATCAAAGATACCACTATAAAAAAATCATGAAATAACGAAGGAGACAAGAAGAAGAGAAAAAGAAGAAACAAAGAATCTATGAAACACCTGGATTAAGAAAATGGCAACAGTAAGTCTGACCTACAATCCCTTTAAATGTAGATGAACAGGTGAATGGATAAAGAAACGTGTCCGTGTTTGTGTGTGTGTGAATAATTATATATATAATGGAATGTTATTCAGCTTTAAAAAAGAAAATCCTGCCATTTGCTACAACATGGATGAACCTTGAGGACAACACACTAAGTGAATTAAACCAGACACAGAAGGATAAATATCACATGATCTCACTTATATATGGAATCTAAAAAAAACAAAAACATTCAAGCTGATAGTAACATAGAGAAGAATGGTGCTTATCAGAGGCTAGTGGGAGATGGGGCAGGGGGAGGGGGAGAAGATATTGATCAAAGGGTACAAATTTTCAGTTATCAGGTGAATAAATGGAGACCTAATTTACAGTATGGTGACTCTAGTTAATAATACTGTAATGCACACTTGAAATTTACTGAAAGAGTAGATCTCAAACGTTCATACCACTCACACACAAAAGGTAATCATGAGGGGGGATGTATGTGTTAATTAGTCTGTGGTAATCATTTCACAACATATACATATATCAAAGCATCATGTTGAGTACACCTTGAGTATATACAATTCTTTTGTCCAAAATAAACAAATAAAAAATTTTAGGTGGTGAAAGCTCAGGAAAAATGCACCATTCTTTTCCTACATTATAAAAAGTTTGAACTAGTGCAGTAAGTTCTAGCTAGTGCAGCAAGACAAGAAAAATAAATGAAAGGCATACCGATTGGAAAAGAAAAAAGTGTTCCTATTTTCAGTTGACATAATTGTCCGTATAGAAATTCTCAAGGAAATAATAGGGAAACCTCTAGAACTAATAAATGACCTGAGCGAGTTAGTAGCATATAAGATCAACACACAAAACTCAACCCCGTTTCTATATGATAACAATGAATATGTGACAACACATTAAAAACACAGTACCATTTACAATCACTCTAAAGAAAATGAAATAATTTAGGTGTAAATAAAACAAAACATGTATGAAATCTCTATGCTGAATACTACAAACTGCTGTGAAATGATCAAAGAAAGCCTAAATAAATTGAGAAACAATACTATGTTCATAGATTCAAAGATGTGACCTAGTAAAAATATAGATTTTCCTCAAGTTGATGTAAGGGTTAATTCAATTCTTATCAAAACCTCAGCAAGTATTTTGCAAACATAGATTAGCTTATCCCAAATTTGTAGGGAAAGGCAAAGGACCTAAAATAGTTAAAACAATTCTGAAAAAAATTAAGTGGGAGGGATATTCTACTCGCTAAGACTTACTGTGCAACTACAGTCATCAAGATTGTGTGGTACTGGGGGAGGGATAGATACATAGATCAATGAACTGAACAGAGAGTAAGAAATAGACCCACAGAAATAGGCCCTAATGATTTTTGACAATGGTGCAAAAGCTATTTAATGAAGGAAGGAGTCTTTCCACAAATGGTGGAGGAACAGCGCAGACATTTACAGGCAAAAAAACCCCAAAAAAACCCCAAAGACAAAAGAACTATGACCTAAGCGTCACATGTTATACAAAAATCAACACAAAATGGATCATAGACTTGGGCTTCCCTGGTGGCGCAGTGGTTGAGAGTCTGCCTGCCGATGCAGGGGACATGGGTTCGTGCCCCAGTCCGGGAGGATCCCACATGCTGCGGAGTGGCTGGGCCTGTGAGCCATGGCCGCTGAGCCCGCGCGTCCGGAGCCTGTGCTCCGCAACGGGAGAGGCCAAAACAGTGAGGGGCCCGCGTACCGCAAAAAAAAAAAAAAAAAAAAAAGATCATAGACTTAAATGTAAAACATAATACTACATACTGTTTAGAGGAATAAGGGAGAAAAACTTTGGAACCTAGGACTAGGTAGAGGTTTCAGACTTGACATCAAAGGTACAACCCATAAAAGAAAAAATTGACAAAATTGGCCTCATCAAAATTTAAAAAAAAAAAAATTTTGCTGTGCTAAAGACCCTGATGAGAGGAAAAGACAAGGTACTCACGGTGACTATAAAAGAATAGTAGGAGGGAGCGTTATGGTGATGGAACAGTTCTGTATATTGATGGAGGTAGTTACACAAACCTAAATACATGATAAATTTTCATACAGCAACACACACACAAAAATGAGTGCACAAAAAACTGATTAAAACTGAATAAGCTCTGTGGATAGAATCAATGTCAATTTCCTGCTTTGATACTGTACTATAATTTTTCAAGATATTATCGTTGGGAGAAACATGACGAGGGTACATAACATGTATTTTTTTCTTTTGAGAACATGCTGTGAATTTATAATTATTTCAAAATGAAAATTTAATAATTAATTAATTAAAAATTTAAAATGCATGCCTACCCGCCGGTTTGTGAAGACAGAATAACATTCTTTCACTAGCACTGTTTTGATCATGTCTAGATCTGTGATAGCCAACACAGGCTGTCGACCATCAAAAAACCTGTGTAGGGAAAACAGAGCTGATTAAACTTAATGAGCCAGTTTCTGCAGCTGGAGCCACAACCAGAAGTCCAGATTTTCAACTAGATGTTACATAATCCCTACTCCTAGAGATCATGGTTAGAAATAACATTAAAACATGGGTTAGGTCTAGGTGGTGTGTGTATGGGTATTTCCTATACCAACTTCATAATTCTTAGGGCTTTAAAATATTTCATATCAAAACATAAGTTAGCTTAGTAAATAATTGAAGGCAAGTTAATTAACTTGAAACAAAAAAATAATTAATTACGGAGAGTCCACCCATTCTGTCATGTTTGAAGATATATCAAAAGCATGAAAAATGCAATGATGTAATAGCTGAAACTTGTAGACACACTGATCATAAATATGTACAATGTGTCTGCAAATGGAAGAAGATTAAGAACGCTCAAAAGTGAAAGTAGGATTATGAAAGGTTTCTTTGCTCTATTTTCAAAAATACGCTTACTTTATACTTTTTTAAAGGAAATCATATTTTAAATAACAAGGAGATATCCTTGGTAGCATCAAGGATTTGAAACAAAAGGACTGAGAGAATAAAGTAATTCAGAGGAACATGTATAAATTCATTTTTAAAATATTTTCTTTTCACTATTTATATTTATTCTTCGACGTGGGTTCCAAGAGGGCCTAGGGCTCCATGTAGGTGACATCCATCAGCAGCTAGGCAGGCCCACTTTTGACACATGTACCACACAAAGCTGACTCCTCAGATGTGACACATCCCAATTTGGCCTGATCTCCTGACTGTCAGGATGCCCGTTCATGGGAATGGGCCACTGGCATGAGGCTGACTCTAAGTTAATCACACTGTCTACCGGCATTTTGTTTCCTCTATCAATCGTTTGCAATGGCTAGAACACAATGGAAGGTTTTCTACATGTTACCTATTATTCCTCTGACTTCACACAGGAATTTCAAATGGTTTTGTGATCACATATAAAAATGGATGAGAACTAAAACTGAGAGGGTTTAAGTGAGTGTCATGTGCATTTAGTGTTGAAGCAGTGACAGAAGGGATTGAGGAGGCACTTAATCTGCTTTTTCATCTGACTGACCATATTTCTTGGATGATTTCCCTTCTTCCCATCATGTTTTTTCAAAAACACCTGGGTGGAGAAGGGATAGTGGTTTGGGGTAACCCTTTATACTCATGATGTCACTCCAGCCTTAGTATTTCTTACACTCTGAGTTAAAATTCAGGTTCTTGGGCCCCATCCCAGATCCTCCAGGTTCAGTGTTGCTGGCGGGTGGGGCCCAAGGCTTAATTTTTAAAAAGCCCTCCCAGGTGGTTCTTATTTACACCTAAACATGAGAAACATTTTCTAAAAAGAGAACTGGGATCTACTATGAAAGAGTGACTCCATCCAGAGCTCAAAAGTACTAAATGTTGGAGGGGCATTTGGAGCTGGTCTAGTGGCAATCCAGTGCTATGTGTTTTTCCACGCAATCACGTTGCCTTTTGGGGCCATGGCAACTCAGCAGAGCCCTATGGTTTCTGAGAACTTGATGAGAGAAGGTGAAGAGGTACAGAGAGGAAGAACTTTCTCCCGCTTGCTTTTGGCACATAGTCACCACGTTACACCTCTCCTGCTGCTCACACCAAACCTCCAGCAGCTGCAAAAGGGACCAGCCACTGCAATCAGCTGGGGCCACTCTACAAAATCATCAAGTCCTTCAGCCCATCGGAAACACTCTGGGTTAGAAATATCCCACATCTCTTCAAAGTCAGAGGAATAGAGTATTAAAGCAATACTAGTACACACTTCTACTGAAAAGTCTTGACTTAAAAAAAACAAACTAAACTACATAAGTGCAGAGAAATTTTTTAAAAGCTGAGCAGAAATGGTTCCCTTTTCTTGTTACCTATACCCCCGAGTCCTTCTTTGAAAAGGACATATTAAATCCAAAATTTAGGTAAAGGAGTTTTGGTTTTTAATTAAAAGTGAATCATGTGGGAGACGATAAAAGCATACATTTGTAAGCAGATGTTAGAATGTTCTGGAATAATGCATTTTATGCAATTAAAGGTGCCCCAAGGAAGGAAAAAATGGCGAAGGGGGGAAGAGCAAGGTACTGGGCATAAAGTGACGTTAGGAGTCCCTGGGCCTCAAAAGTCTGGAGCAAAGTGATGACCTGTGACTCTCCAGGCCTGACTCAGACTGTGGACCTGGACACCTGGTGACGTCTGGGATCCCTGGTAGAACAAGCCTCCAAAGCTTTACGATAGATGACTTCATCCTAGGAAGCTCTGGACTGAGATTGTCCTCCACACCACAGCGGGGGGGGGCCGCCACATCATAACAAGTCTACGCGATGGAAGTTTCCAGAATACTCACCCCCACGTTTTCCCATACTTTTTAAAACATTTATTGTCAAAATCCCAAATACCCTGCAAGAAAAAAAATTGGATTATTAGTTTAAATGCATTGAACTTTACCTCTAATTAGGACAAAAATTACTTGAATCGCATGGTATCAGGCTTCCTATTTCCCACTGGCAAATGCAAGGAAACACTTATTCAGAGACATCTGAGGGGAAAGAAGACAAAATAGAGGAGATATTTGAAATGGAGAATTTAAAATCACTCGAATTTTCTTTGAGTATTGTAGATACTAAACACTTACCCTTGTCAATGAATACTAATTATTCCTTGTCTTTCTGAGGGTTTTTGCTTGAGCACCGTGTTGTCTCTAAAATCTCATAACCCTCTGAGTTAATCCTCCAGGGACAAGTGAGAAAACTGAAGCTGAGGGTAAGAGTTTCCTACACACACTTGCATCTCCTAGTTAAGCAGCCTTTTCATTTATCTCATGAGCCCCCTCTAGAATTCTAGCAGAATAAGGGAGTTAAGGCGCCAGTAACTTCTTTGGATCTAGCAGTAAACAAAACATCTAGGGCATGTGGTGAGTGATAAAGTGAGTGAGTGAATGAATGAATGACAAAGTAGATCGCCTTCTAGTTTTCCAGCTCAGCACGGAAAAGATGGGGAGATACCACAACTACACAAAGGACAAAGGACAGTGCAATTAAAACACTTGCCCTGAGTTTTCACTTCTGTAACTTAAAAACAAACAAACAACAACAAAAACCTTCCTGTAGCTAACTTTCTGCTGTGATATTTGATGGTTTAACTATGCAAAAGAAAGTGCCAGAAATGTGGGTCTCAGAGTGCATCTACTAAGGAGTTCATCTGGGAAAGGTGGAAAATAAATTATTGCTTTTTCAGAGGGAAAAAAGTTCATAAAGTTCACAGGCAGTAATGAGACAATGAAGACCTCAGTTGGGAGAATAAGGATCTGAGAAACAAGCCTTATGTCTGCAGGAAAGGAAATCTGAGCCAGAAAGCAGCCTGCACACAAGGCTCTGCCCCCTGGACACAGGGACGTAGCTCATGACTTCCGTTCAGGGGCCAGGCCCTGGGCAAGGCATCAGAGCTGGATTAATATCAAGGCTCAGCCAGAATTCATAGTCCATATGCCACCTAGTACATTCTGTTCAGTTAAATTAAAATTTTAATAATTTTGCCAAATCATGTCCTTTCTAGTGATTTTCCATAAGTAATTCTGCCTTGTTTTTTTGTTTTTTAACCCACAGTTCATTTAGTAGTTAAATATCTGAAGTCGAAGACAACCACTATCCAGTCTCCGTTATACTCTCTCTCTGCTCAAACTCATCCATGAGGTGCCTCCTTTGAAGACACAGAAGTAAAGCAGAAAGTTCTTGTTCCATCTCTCAAATCTCCAAAATAGTCACCGGTACAAGAGGTGGATTAGAGCATGGAAATAACTGCTGGGGTTAGCAGTTCTTGAGGGAATTCAAGTATGTGCAAATTACTCAACGGTGAGTACTAGGGTTGCCTCAGAAAGTGAAGTTTCCAATCAATCCAGGAGGAATTTCTTTTAAAAGGGTACCCACAGCACATGCTAGCAAAAGGAAAGTCTGACTGTAGTGTACACAGCTTAATGAGTCATGGCTGGGCACCCCCTTCATGCTTTTCTCCTAAGGGGGATGGTGACTTCCTGGGAATCTGCACCTGGCAGAAAGAAAATCCTCTTCACAATACTCACCAGGTGGAAAATCAAGTCCTGTGCTGAATCAGCTAGAGAGCTGGGCTGTCTGAGGCCGCAAAACCTGAGGCCCCTAACAGCTGAAAATGGAGCCATGGGGTAAACATGGCCATGTGCTGAGTGGAGCCTATGGTGTCGTTTCTGGAAAGCATGAAACTTCAGACCTTTCTCTTGAGGAGGGGAAATTTTATCATGGAACTCAGCTGAGATTTGCAACCATAAGAAGCAAAGCTGGAGCTCAAACATCACGCACCTTTTGGTAGGACAGAATATTTCCAAAATAAGGCAGAGGTGTTGGCCCAGGAATCCCCAGCTTCTTAAAAAGTCCATGTGAATAAGTTCCATATCTATAAAGTGAAAGAGGAAACCAGGTCACAGGGATTGTGTAGTAAGTGCTGGAGCTGGCCAGTCACTGACTCAGAACTGGACAGTCAACCTAGGGAGGTAACATGTAGGTGATAACTAATAACAGTGATTCCAAAAGTGATATTACATTCACTCATCACCTCCTTTCCCACCTGCACTGTGAGACCCATAAAAAGTAATGATGATTAGATAAAAGCAGCTGAAGTCTTCACCGTCCCAATCCTAGAATGAATACTTGATAAATGTTTCCAATTTGAGTGTTCCTGAGAAGTTGAGGCAGGAATCTTCCAGGGAATTAATCACGTTTATTAGTTACTTGACTCTTCCATGATTTGGAGATTCTCATTCTAGGTAGAAAGGGGAAAAGGTTTTTTTTGGTAGTACCCAAAGCTTTAGCAACTTCTGGTCCATTAACTTGGATCTTCAAAACAGACAAGGAAAGGGAGACCTGATTAGCACCCCAAGTCCAAGATCACAGAGGAGACAAGCCTGGACAGTTACTCACATATAGAGAAGCACCAGGATGGTAGCCAGGAGAACCCAGGTTTCCGTGGAAAAGCTTGAGATTAGGTCCATGGCCACTTTCCTCTGAGTTTCCCTCCTCTGAATTTCCTTTCAGCTGTGTGTGCTATTCTTTGCAGGCCTTTGAGTGTGGAGTTTCCCTTCCTGGCCAGCGGAGATTCAGTGAGGCTGGAAGGTTTATGTTCTGGGAAGGGGGTGGAGCTGGAGCTGCAGCCAGTAGAAGGGCCACCTGTGCTCCACCTGCATGAGCCCTCCCTGCCTTGATGGTTGGCAAAGCATCAGGGACACACCAGTTTGACCTCCCTTGAGTTGGTATCTGTGACAATCCAATATCAACTCAATCAGTGTTATCAGTAAGCCCAACTATTACAGAAACTCACATAAAGCCACTGACCATATCTCCTCTAAACTACCCTTGTCTCCATAACTGCCCACACTTTAAAATACCTGAAATTCTTCCAACAAGCTAGGTCTACAGATCTTTACCCATGCAGTTTCCTCTGCCTAGAAATGTCCTTGTTTCCTCTATAAGTCTCCTGTTTATCCTTCAAATCCCAGCTCAGACAGAACCCGCTGTTTTAGAGACTTTCCTAACCAACTTCCTTGAACAGATATAACCTCTTCTTCATCTGGCGAACTTCTGTCCTCTGCACACAATTCTAATATGTCCATCACCATTGTTGGATTCCTTACCTAGTTCCCCCACCAGATTGAGAGCTTGTGCACAGTCTGGGTGTTCGTCACCATCATGTCCCTGGAACCAAGACAGTGCTTTCTGCCAAGTGGGAATGAGAAAGTTTGGTGGACTTGAGCAGGTGGAGGTAAGATCACTGGGCCACTCTATGTCCTTTTCAAGTGGCTCTTTGGTGACCACACCATCTTCCTGGATTATTAATACAACAAGAGAGCCTGGCTGCACCTCGGCCACCATCCCTGCACATTCAGGATGATCCGTCAGGATTCTATTGACAAGAGGGCTCCTGAGGGAGAGACAGGATATGGAGGGGATGGTGATGGCGCACTAAGGAGTACTGATTCAGGCTGATTCCTGTCCTGCCCTCAGATAGTCCTGCATTAGACAGCAAGTTAGACAAATTCTAGACCAAAGAATGGCCCCCTATCTCTGGAGAGGCTGCAAGTCCAAGATCAATGGGTGTAAAGAGGAGAAAGCAGCCTGATAGCCAAGTGGGCCCCACCTCTTTATCCACCAGTGTTGTGGCACACACAGTACACAGGACTCCAAAAAGATGGTATGAGGTTTTTCTATGGGGCAAAGTGGGGTCAGAGCAGATGGCTTCCTGCTTTTTGACAAGTAGGGAATTTATAATGGGTACGAGGACCTGGCAAGGAGGAGGCTTATATTAGAGGTCAGTGTCACCTGTGAGCCCGCACCCCATTCCTTATGAGAGAAACCTGAGGATTGAGGGTCTGGAAATTACATGGCCTCATTGTCATTATTCTGACCCAGGTCCTGGGATTGCTTGGCCTGGAAAACCATGAATTACGTAAAAAACAAAATCTGAAAGATTCTTAAACTCAACAGAAACACAAGACATTTAAGCTGTGCTTGTGTTTCTCACTTTAAGTCCTTCTGCAGAAAGTGATACCCACCTTTCACCAACTCTTTCCCTCCCTCTGACTTGAAAGTCCCCAGGGCTCCTGGACAACAGCCTGAGAGGGTGGAAGTCTCATTGGTAAAATGCAATAAGTCCCAACTATGTCACCTGCCTTCTTTTGTTTCCTTGGGGACTTGTCATGCAGCATGAAATTTCTACCATCATAGTTTGTCATCTTTGGGTTCAGACTTTCTCCAGGAGACACCTGTTAAAATCCATAGCTGCCACTGGTAAGTAAAATGCATGAATACATCTATTCATTCGTGTCAAGTGGGTGAATGTCAGGTGCAGGTATTGTGCTGGGGTGTGGGCTAGAAGCCATACAGTCTCCTTCCTTGAGAGCAGCTTCCAAGTGGAGGGAGTGAGACACACAACCATGCTTAGTATGTGGCATACCTCTGGAATCTCTGAAAAAAAAATGGAGCCCTACAGAGAGGTAGTGAAGGAGGGAAGTGGCTGCAAGCTTGAATACCGACAAAGGACATACCTGGGAAACTGGAAGATGATCCCCAGGAAAAGTAGGATAGAAAGTCCCAGAAACTCTGATACATTTCTGCCCTCTTTCGGTACCTTCTCTGGGCGCTGTTAAGTAGGGTCGTGTTACAGCCCCCAGGTTACAGATGTAGAGACTGAGGCTTAGCGACTGCAGGTGGCTTCCCAACAGCTGTTGATCAAAACCTGTCACATGTATGCTAACATGAAGGTAGATTGGCAAGTCTTCTGCACTGAAATGCCAGTATGCAATGTTTGCTGTTTCGTGATAAGGGTCACTATGGGAAATAGTGAGACCCGAGGCTGCAGCAGCAACTTGGTTACAATCTGGCTCCTATCTCCATGGCTACCCCTGCCCAGGAGCTCCCCCATGGGTCTCCAGAACCAAGGAATCTATCTCACCTCACCAGGAATAAAGATAGGTGCAGGTCATGAGGACACTAAGGGTCTTGTGTGTAGGATCAACCTATGTTCCCAACTGAGAGGAACATAAAATACATCCCACATGGGATGATTGGGGTGTTGTCTGATAACTACTGACAACTTAATTCACTCAACTAAACCCACAGCCTTTCTTATTCTTCTTGAGAACAAAACCATTTATAGAAACTATATGATTTCATCTTCCTCCAAAACACACACTTGGCTATGATGATTTTCTCACTAAGCCTTATATGACCATCACCTGCCCTATTCACCGCAGGGCCGGTCCAGCTGGTTGGAATCTATCCCAATGGCGATAGGCTAGTCATTTCCTGGGAATAAAATGTAGCCAGCACCACGTCCTAACCAATACAAATAGCCTTGCTCTGCAAGGGGAAGTAATAGAAGGCACGATCTTTGTGCCCCTTCATTCACAGCCAGGAAGACCTAACAGGAAGCGACGTATATACTAAGATTGTGAAGGAAGACATGTGTGCCTGAAGGTCACCCCACACCCCGTGTCTCTCATCTAGTCGTTTGTGTGCTAATGGGCTCGTCATGTACTTTCAAAGCTCTTTTCTCAATGCCTAGGGCACGAATATGACTAAAATCCAGACAGTATTCAGGTTGAAGACAGAGACAAATAGGTAGTTATAGTACAGCCAAGGTAAACTAATTACACAAGTTTCAGAAACAGTGTCTTCATCAACTATAAATGGCTTATCTTCTCAGTCCTTAGCAATGAGCTGGAGTTGAAAATCAAATAACACTCAGGGAGGCGTTAGGCTCACTAATAGGTGAACAGGGTGTCAGGGACTCAGTGATGCAAGAGGCACTGTCAGTCTGCTATTCCTGTCCTTTTATATTGTTTGCCTAGGTGGCTCCTCTTCTGGGAAGCCTGTCCTGATGTCCACTGGCTGAAAGAATTGCCCAAGGTCTTAAATTAAACCAGGCTCAGCCTTGCCCAAGAATTTAATGGGAGCCTATCACTAAAACCCGGATCTTCCAAGAGGGTGGTGACCAGTGCTCTGCCCCAAACCAGAGACAAGGTGATGTCCCCTTGCAAGCCCATCGATGAGAGCTGGGGTGAGGTAGGAGAATACTTTTTAAGACCCACACACACTGCACCATAGAGAAAGCCCCTCCCCCATGCCCCAAAGCAGAAGCACTTCCATAGACTTCACAGCAAAGGGAAGAAGAGGAGGACATCCTCAGGGCTGCTCACTTTCTACTCCATCCTGGAGGGTCTCTTTCCTGATAAAGTAGCCACTAACATCTCTACCACCCTGTACACCGTATAAAGTTCTTTCATGTCTCTCTTAATTGATCTTCGTGAAGACTCTGTGAGATAAGCAGTATTGGGATTATTTAATTCCCCCTTGACAGATGTGGAAATAGAAGCTCAGGGTGGAGAAAAGTCCTGCCCAAGCAATTAAACCATGAATCCAGATCACAGAGCCAGATCTTGCGATTCTAAATTGTGCCTATGGCTTGTTTGCTTAGATTCAAGGGGCCTCCTGAAATAACTTTGCAGGTTATGTCATCTTCCCATGGGATAAATATTTCCTGCCACACATCCCATCATGCTTCCACTCTTGTTCCAAATGCTGCACAGCTGGTTGTGACTACAAAAACGATATGCACATCCTTCTACCCGTTACTAAGTTGGGTATTCACTGCACTTTTGGTGTCAGCAGTTAGAGGATGTAGCAAATGGTTCAGACATGTCACAATCAGAATCATTTGGGTTTCCAGGAGAGCAGAAAGTAAAAAGTGATGAAAAGGAGTAAAAGAGGAATCAGAGAACAGAGGCAAATATCGGACAACCATATGGAAAGGAATGAACGAAATAGGAAGTGTAAGATGAAGGAGAAAAACGAGGGTCTTGGGGCATGTTGGAAAAGAAAGGAAAAGCATTGGTCT